CTTTCCCTCCCCCATGGACTGAGGAGGAATTTGGGTCTGTAGATCTGTGCAAGGAGATGGAGAAGCCAGGCCATGCCACGGGGCAGGGAACAGCTGCTAGAGCCCGCATCGGCTCCCCAACTCCAGATTTTCTCCCAGCCTGGTGGCTTTTGATGACTGTCCTCCATTTCTCTCTCCTGTTTACGCTCACACGTCCCCTCCCCCCCATCCTGATGGGAATGCTCCAGTCCACCCTGTGCCTGAGTCCTCCCATTGTCCGTGAGCTGGGATGTCGCACAGGCTCCCAGCAGCCTGGTGCCGTGTGGCTGGGGGTTGGAAAGCCAGGATAGGGGTCCCAGCCTGCTCAGGGGGTCCCAGCCCATTCAGGGGGACATGGCAAGAGCAGACAGTGGCCAGGGAGTTGTTGGGAGACTGAGGGTTATCCCACAAGCCCAGGGCTGGCTGGCTGCCTGGAACCTCCTGGGACCAGGGACCTGGTGCCAAGCTGGACCCAAGTCCAAGAGGTGCAACCGCTCCATGTTTCTCTGCCCTTCCCGGCTTCCCCCAAATGTTGGCTCAGGATGGCTGGGGAAAACTCTGGATCCCTGGTTTTGAGGGAAAACCTGGATCCTTGGTTTTGGGGCATTAACGCTCCGCTTTGCAGCCCAAGGGCTGGCTGGAGCCTTCCCAGGGAGGGCGTCTCGCCGTGCCGGCGTGTCAGGACATGGGCGCGATTTCTGCTGGTTTTTAGGTAGCGATAGGTTTAGATGTAGAGTGGGGCTGGAACAGACAGGGAGCACCTACTCCATCCTCGCTGATGGGGATCACCAGGGGGATTTGCTGAGGCTGCTGGAGCCCGGTGACCCCTGGCAGGAGGAGGAACTCAGTGCGGTGACTCTTACCTCCACCATCATATCTGATGGCTGAGTGTGTGCCTGAATTATTTGGGTCCTTTGTTTTTAAAGACAGGCATTATATTGCCCTTTTCTGGGACCTTGTGCACCCGTGAGAGTTGTCAAAGAGAGTACAGACGGTTGTGCTTCTGGGTGAATTTAATCAGGTCCAGTCAGTCTAGAAGGATCCAAATTCTCCGCATCCCGGCATGCAGGCGCCAGGGGGGAGGATGGAGAGCAGCTCCCCAGCTGCTTGCCTGCTCTGCTCCAGTAGTTTTTATGGTGAGGTGGTGGTCTCTTCTTGGGAGGGTGGGGGGAAGGATTTTTTTAGTTCTTGACTAGCAATGGGATCTATACAAAACTACTTCAGGAAAACGGCTTTTGTCTGAATGGGGTAAATGCAATAGAGCGCACTGGGCTGCGTGTCTAAGCCTGGGCCTCGGTCCCGCTGCCGTGTTGCGGGGGGCTCTTGGCCTTCCGCCGGCACGTCGGTTGTGCCGGGGAAACTGCTGTCCCCCCCTAATTCTTGTATCTGTCTTGAAGAATCGTGTAGGACCTTTCCCCCCTCACCCCCAGTTTAATGGTTTGGTGATTTTTCAGCTAGATGTCTAGTGTGTGTAAATACCTCTGTAAATCTTTCCATTTTCTCTCAGTATTCTCTTTGATTATTGTTTACAAAAGTAAGAGGAAAAAAAAAAGGAAAAAAAAAATAAAAATAGCCAAAGCATCTAAATAGGTTATGGACCAGGGAGACGGGATCTTCTCTGTGTACTCTGCCTTGCAACTCTGTGTGGGGATACGAGCTCTGTGACCATCCCTGTCCTAGGCTAGAGCAAATAGCAAACGGCTTAGAGAATCACTCAGGTTTCCCCCGGGGCCAGTGTGGTACCGGGATCCATGAAAACAGGGATTTTTATCTGTAAAGGGAAGCCACGACGGAGAAGATGGGATCGATTTGCATCTTCTCGTTGCATTTGCCATCGTGGTTCTTCCCGTATCTTGACAATAATTAATTAAATTGCTGCATCGCCACCCACCCTGCCCGTGCTGGGCACTATGCATTACGGGACAGTGAATGGCGGGCGGCCGAGGCCGTGCGCTCAGGGTCCTGCTGGAACACGGGGGGGTGTTTGAATGTAGGAGAGAAAGCTGTCCCTCGCGAGGGGGTGTCCGCCCTGGTGTGAAAGCCTCGAGTCGCAAGATTGCCTACGAGGAGACGGAAGAATGTAATCCATGTTTACTGCTAGCAACCAAAGCTTGTTTTGTGTCAAATTCGTGCGTTTTTATGAAGCGGGTGGGAAGGAGGGAGGAACGGGGGTGGCTCAGGGGTGACCAAAGATTTCCTGCTGGAGAACCTGCAGCGAGATCCCCAATTCCTGTCACTGCAGGTTTTTCCCCCCTCAATATGTTTTTTTTTTTATACTTTGTTTTTGTACCAGCTATGTAAAATGTGGTTTGTTTTTTTTTTTCTTTTCTGGAAAAAAAAAACCAAAAAAGAAATAAAGACCATGAGCAATGGCTGCTGGTCACGTTGTGTGTGTGCGGTTACTCTTTTCTTTTTTTCTTTTTTTTCCCCCACCCTCCCTGGGGGTTGAGAAGCCCAGACACAAACCGGGTGCTGCCTGGGGTGGGGGGGTGGTGTGTCTGGGAATTGGGGTACCCCACAGCCAACGCGCCCCACAGCCGCCTC